GGAAATAAAATTGACATCTGGATCTACAATGTTTCACATTGATTATCTCAGGACATAAAGTTGACATCAGGATCGACAAGATGATAAACAAGGACATTTAATTGACATTGGATTTGTAATCAGATTTTAGCCAAAATTTTACACTGTTACAGCATGGATAAATAAATCACATGATGAATCATTAAAACCAAAAAAAAAGATACAAAATACAAATGAATATCAAGTAGAAATTATTTCAGTACAAAGGAATTTGATTAAAGAAAGTATTATCATAAAAGAAGATTAGTCAATAACATTGAAGAAAGTAAAGTCACATGATATTATACAAGAAATGATGCTATTTGATGAAATATTAAAAAAGGAAAATACATTTTCTAAAAATGGAAATTATGAAGAAGTAATTCCAACACTAAAAGAAATATTATTTCAAGAAGACCTAATTAGCTTTGAAGATGAAAAAGTAGAAGAATTTATGTTAATTGATTTGAATGAAAATAATAAATTAACATCTTTACTGCAATAAGAGATTTCTTCTGATATTTTTATGTTGAATGCTAAACAATTTCAAATGTCTTTAAATGATAATAATAATTTTGAAAATAAATTTGAAATGCAACTTTTGATTACCTTTGTGAAGAAATATATGACTTGTATCAAGAAATGCCAATGGAAAATGATGAACTTGAATTTGCTGCTACAACAACTTATGAAGAAGAAGCGAACAATGATGACCTCCAGCCAAGATAAATTTCTGAATATATTCCTAAAGTAGAGTATATTTGTGGAAAATTAGACCTATAAATTCCTAAAATATTTAATAATGAACAATTGATACAAGAAAATTCATTATTAATTTACTTACTGCAACAACTACCCAAATTAATAAATTTGAATACTATAGCATGAAAAACAGTTACCAACCAGATTGTAGGGGATTTCTTCAAGTAGAATATCAATGGAAAAATTGGAAGAAAATTTATATCACACAAACATACTGCGCTACTAAAAATCAAAAACATATGTAACGAATTAAAACAAATGTCTCGGAGGTTATTTTCTCGTGATCTACCGATCAGAATTTCATGAAACAAGGACCATCGTGTGCGCCGAGATGCGCTCTTCAAAATGATATGTTGTAAACGTACTTGATGAGATAGGTTATCACGATACGCACTGGAAGTTTGGCAAGAGCCATGTCTGCAGAAATTGATAGCACATATGGCATTTAATCAAAGTTTCGCCCACCACTTTGTGAACTATCTTTAACTTTTCACTTCCCTATGAAGCCCATTACAGCATAATATAATGGTCCGCATCGGTCAATCCGGAATCGTTCTAATCCGGATTCCAATGACTGATATAGCAATTGATTTCGTATGGAATCAAATCGATGTTGACTTATATTTGATACAATGCCACAAAAAGTAAGGATATACTTAAGGCTGGTTGAGGTTATACAAAATTGTGATAGACTTATCAAATTTTGATTTTATTTTTTTAATGTGCCATCATGAAAATTTTGGTCATTGAAGAAAAATTTTTTTTAACTATAAATAAAATAAAATAAAATTTAAATATGTTTTAAAGAAAGACTCGTGTCTTATCTTAATTAAAAATTTGACATCATTGAATTCTAAGTTAACACATTTAATAATTTTAAATGAAGTGGTACTATAATTATGAAAGTCACCATCACAAAATAAGAATCATAGAAGTAAGTTTTACCCAAGACAATAAATGACGATAAGCAATTACAGTCAGAATACGAATGAAATACATGAGGAGTAAAATTTATGAGAATTTAATTGTCCCATCTGAAGGAATTGATTTTGTCAACAAATAATTGCGAAAAACAATTTCTCTTATATTACTTTTATTCTTTTCGTATGACTGAATAAAGGCGTCTAGGACCTTTCATTTAATAGTATATTTAAGAATATAATTAGTTTTAAAAAATATATTAAGGTTAAAAAAGAAGAAATAGAATGGAAAAGGAAAGATGAATAGAATGAAAAATATGAACAAAGTAAAGAGTGAAAAAAGAAAAAAAAAGTAACGAAATTACCGAAAAGACTTAAATACTTTAATTATAATATTTTGTGGTGATCATATATCCGGTTTACTATGAAATTTTTTAAAATAAATGGTTTATCAAAATTTATTAGTTCTATATAATGAATTTTATATGTTCAAAATAAAGTCAAAAGTCTTAAAACAACCATTTTAACGAGATTTTATTAAGTGATCGTTACATCATTTCGAGTTCTGACTATGCTGATATATAAATTCACATTTAGATAAAGATTTTTTATTTCTTTGCCAAATAAAATAAACTTTTGATTATTATTTAGGTATTTTCATTATCAGTTTTTTGGAATATTGTATAGGCTGGAAATTATTTCATCATATTATTTTAAGATGGAAAATTATATTTCAACTTCTTAATACGTAACTATATATTTTTTTTTAATTAATATACTTTATTGATAGATAATAACAGTAATTGAAATTTACTGTAATTCTGATAAAAATCAGCATTTGTTAAAATTATTGTGTAGAAAATTTTTTTTGCAGTGCACGCACGTTCCAATTTTGATAAAATGCCAATTAATTAAAGTTTCAAATTTTTAGTCTGACAACTTTATTTATGATTAAAATAGATAATTATCGACTTCTCAAAATTATTTAATTTATAAAAATTTTAATTAAATATTAAAGATTCTAATAATATAACTATGTTCGAATTTCAAATGAGTGTCACGGTTGAGTCTACTGAAAAGTGCATAACGGCTGACTGCGCAATTGGCAAAGGCAGTTACTACTATTCGATTTATAATTATGTGCGAGTTAGTAATACCACATGCGGCGAGAATTGATTCTGCATTATCTTTTAGAAGCGAATACGTCTTTCTAATTGTATAAAATACGTTTGGATTATATGAGCAATATTTTGTTATTGTGTTTATGAGTTAAAGTTCTCGTATTAAAACAAGTCTGTCAATAAATCAAGGCATGTACCATATTTACAAATTATTTACTAGTGTAACATTTTTCAACATATTTGTTCATTGTTTTATTGATAGATATATATTTTGCATTACATAGTGAATACAAATTAAATACTCGTTTTATTATACAAGATAAAACGAAAGCTTATTATTTAAAAAAAAATTACAAAATCACTGTTATTTTCACACATAGCCAGTAATATCTTTTTGATCGACAACTTTGGAACAAATAATGAAATAAAATATTATTAGGTTCAAAATGCATAAGTCAAGGGATAATTTACGGATGAACTCACTAGTTGTATTCGAAGTTTCAAGAGTTGTGGTGATGGAGTACGTTTGATCTCCATTCGATTTCTCGGGAAAAACTTTTTTAATTTCGCCCCTTTTATCAGAGTCATATTTAACCTTATCTGAAGAATATGAAAATATTTCCTATTTAGTGCATTATTAAAAAGGCATGCAGAGTTAAATAGCAATTATTTACCTCCTTTTTTGTATAAAGCCATTTTAGATATTAAAAATAAAATTTTGTTGAAAAATTTGTTGGAAAATAGAATTGAAAAGACATCTCACTTAAATACTTTCTAATATCAGATGACAAAGCTCAGATTATGCTGACATCTCGAGATGGACGGTCATCTAAAAATTACATGCGCGTGTGAATTTTATAAGTATGTAGTTTTCCGGATCTAACATACAAACAATTCATTTGGAATAAATCGTTAGTTATTTAACCAGATTAAAAATCCGGTTAGAGTTGATTATGCATATCCATCTCAAAGAAAAAAAATGATGGTCATAATTTAAAAGTCTCGAGAAATAAGTTCGCCCAATTGACTATATTTATATGACGTGCTTAAAAATCCGCAACTTTATATTAAAATTTTATAGGTGAAATTTTTACGCAATTCAATATTACATTTAACCATTGCATGCTCCCTTTGGAAAAAATTATTCATAATTAAAAATTAATATCCTTCAGCAAATAGTTTTTCGGATAATCTCATATTTTATAAAGATATTTTCCAAGAAAATGATATTATTATTTATTCACCGATTAGATACCTTTGAAAGCTGATATGCTTTTAAATTATTAAAAATTAAGATGAAAAAAATTTAAAATTTTAATTTTTTAATGTAAGACAAGATTCATCAACATTGTTTTCGGACATAATATCATGTGTATATCAAATTTAAATAACTTATTGCGTATTACAAGTTTGAATTCTTGTATCATTCTTCACGAGACAAAATTATATTTTATAGTCAAAAAATTCATGTTCCTTGTAAGTTGTAATAAATTTTTATTCTATACTATTCAGGTAATTCTTTCGGATAAAATCGTGTAATAAAAGAACCTTGCATGTAGAATTTATGCAATCTTTGAATTTCTTCCGTGATAGGATCAGTGAATTTCTTAAATAACCTTCGAAAAAGTATATTTAGTCATATTGAAGTTTTTATGAATAGTAGTATACAAGAAAGTTCATTGTCATAGTGCAGACGGAATTAAATATTTTCAGTTATTTCGTCAACTT